GCTGCTACCGAAGCCATTCCAAGAACAAGCGCGACACCAGGTAAGAAAGCCTTGCACTGGTGGTCTCCCAGTACCAAAGCGGCCACCAAAGCCAGGAAAAAGGCCTTTCGAGTGGCAAAACGAGTAGAAAAACGTCTTCCTGTAGGCCACCCGGATCGGGAAGCCGCTCTCCAGAACTACCGAACGAAAAGAAACGAATGCAGGGACATTATTCGAGATGCAAAAAAAGAAAGCTGGGAATCTTTCATCGACGACATTAACCCCAACCAATCGACAACCGACCTGTGGAGCAAATTAAATGCAATCAGTGGAAAGAGGAAAGCCCAAGGTATCACCATTGTACATGAAGGTGTGGCTACCCATGATCCGGTTGAAATCGTCGACACCATCGGGAACTACTTTGCTTCGCTTTCATCGATCGACAGTTACGACGAGGAGTTTTGTCGAAAAAACCACCCGATCATTAACTCGATCGGGGACATCGAAATCCCCGAAGATGCAGAGAATTCGGAGATTAACCGACCATTTGGTTTCGAGGAGTTTTCACACGCCTTATCAAAGGCCAGAGGAGGTTCAGCCGGACCGGACGAGGTGAGCTACCCTCTCATTCAAAATCTTCCCATGGGAGAACAGGCCAAATTCCTGGAACTCCTGAATCAAGAATGGACACAAGATTCCTTCCCGGAACAATGGAGGCACAGTCTCACCATCCCGATCCCCAAACCAAACTCTGTGGGACACGAAGTCGACAAGTACCGGCCGATTTCCCTAACATACTGCGCATCGAAGATAATGGAGAGGATGGTGAACAGGAGACTACTCAAATTCCTGGAAGAAGGTAATCTTCTAGACCACCACGCATTCAGACCGGGGCACGGGACCAGTTGAACAGTTGGAATCTTCATCTTCGTCTACGCGGACGACATCGTCCTAATGGCTGTCAAGAAAACGGTGAAGGCACTGCGAAGAAAGCTTATTCAGGCCGTCACCTACGTATCGGCATGGACCTCGTCGGCTGGTTTCCAGCTATCCGCTACTAAGAGCGGATTCACCCACATCTGTCCGATAAAACACCAAGTCCTCAGCACCAAAGTCTGCACCAAAGAAGACCTAATTCCGTTTCGGAAAACGATCCGAATTCTCGGGGTCTGCTTTGACCGACATCTCACCTTCGACACACACTTCAACGAAGTCAAAAACGGATGCAAACAGCGTATGAACCTGCTCAAAACTCTAGCGGGACGACATCCAAATGCCAACCGAGAATCCCGACTGAACGTGGCGAAAGCCATCATCAACTCACGCCTAACCTATGGAATCGAAGCTACGTTCCTTGCCAAGCCCCGATTGATCGAAAAGTTAGCGCCAGTCTATCAACAATCTCTCCGAATCTGTTCGGGTCTTTTGCCAGGTACCCCCGGAATAGCTGCTTGCATCGAAGGAGGACTGCTCCCATTTGATCGCTTAATCTCCAAAACTATCTGCCAACGAGCCAAACGACTTTACCAGCAGACATCAGGAGACGACAAGGAAGATTCCCTCCTCACGGAGGCGAACAATTCACTCAGGGAAGCATCCAACCCGACTCTCCCCCCGATATCCAAGCTTTACTGGGTCGGAGCGAGGGGTTGGAACATGCCGAAGATTCTGACCGACCACACAATCAAACACCAATTTAGAGCTGGTGCCAATCCTTCAGTGGTGGCACAAGCGGTACTCGAACTCCAGAACCGGAAATACGGAGGATACACCATTCGGTACTCGGATGGCTCGGTAGCCCAGGGAAAGGTAGGAATCGGGATTTTCGGTCCAAACCTCGCGGAATGCCATATCGGATCAGTGCTCCATTTTCTCTGCGGAAGCCATTGCCGCCTTCATTGCAGCCACCATTCCCGACGACCGACCAATAGCCATCTTCACCGACTCCGCTAGTGTGGTAGCCGCACTGGAATCCGATACGAGCAAACACCCTTGGATCCAGGCTATACAGGAACACGCGCCAAACAACACAGTCTTTGTGTGGATACCTGGACACTGCGGGGTTCATGGTAACGTAAAAGCGGACCAACTAGCCAACTCAGGTCGTCGTATGGCCAAGTACACGCGAATTGTACCTGGTCCGGACCTAAAAAAATGGGTATCAAAAATCACCAACGAAGGTTGGGCTCGCGATTGGGCGGCCAGTGAAACCCCTGCCATCAGAAACATTAAAAGAGACATCTCCAGGTGGGCGGACCCACCGATACATCGAGAGCAGGTCATAGTATCCCGACTTCGAACACATCATACAAACATCTCCCACAGCTACAAGGGAGACGGACCTTTCCATAGGATCTGTGATCTATGCCGAATTCCTCAAACCACAGACAAACAGACGTAACTCTTTGAAAAACTTGTTCTTGAAAACATAGTATCTCAAAACATATAACCTCAGTAACGACATCTCTCTGGCTTCTCGCGGAAAACAAGCTTGCTCGATAACTCGTAAACAATATTGCATAAAAGTTCTATAGAATATATAGAAACGTCAAAGTGATCCGATGCCAGCGCTGCGGCGAGTAGTTCGCGGAACTGATAATATTCAAATCAACCGTTAAATGCATGAACGAAGATACACAATGAAGAGTTACGTCTGTTTGTCTGTGCTCAAACGGTGGATCACATTATCTACCACTGTCCGAAATACGAAGCACCAAGAACCCGCTACGACATCCCGGGAAGCATCAGCGATGCCCTCGGTAACGATTCTACCAGAATTACAGCCCTTTTAGCTTTCCTGCGGGAAGCTGAGCTGTTCGATCTAATCTGATCACCTAACTCACTATCATCATCATCACCACCATCATGCTTGGCATGCACAGTTGTACACACCAACTGCTCATTTGTTAATAACTTTTCACTCAGTAGTTGAAATTTAGTTTTCTTCACAGTAGTTGATAGATTAGGATCATAGTTTACTGTAGACATGCAAAGAGTAGGTAAATCTTATCATTTGAATCAACACCAATGAGTTTTTATACTTAAAGTACGAGATGTGCAGCGAGCATTTCTCACTACATTTTTGCAACGCAAAATCAAATACAGTTTATTACTAGAATTAAAATCTCCTTTTTTACATATCTATAAAAAGCTTCAACTCTAATATATCGACTGCTTCAAACAGAACTATGTTTCGTCAACTCTGCGCAAAGTTATTAGCAAATGAGCAGTTCGTGAGCAAAACTGTGTATGCCAAGCATGACCACCATACCAGATCACACTCGGAACCAGAATCTCACAACCAACCACCCACATCAGCAACTATACAGACCAACGCAACGAAAACGGAATTCTCCAACAAAATGACAGAATTAAGACAGCCACTAAGCAACTAAGGGACCCCACCCTCGGAGGTTCCCTTCCAGGGCCACCAAATTAAAAACTTCGTAGCTAAAAACTCTGTTTCCGGGGCCCCACGCCCTTTTTCGGAAATCCCCTCTGGGATCCAAACTATGTTGTTAGGTTAATTTCCCTCTGGAATTCCCACCCCCCTCAAATAGGGGATTCCCCATCTGGGATTCCCAGAGACGAACCAGCCCAAGGCTGAAAGTCTCTTTAATAAAAAAAAAAAAAAAATTAAATACTTTGAAGACAGTAATAATTTTAATTTTCATACTTTAAGCGGTATTGAAAGTAATCAACAAATAATTGACGTTAATTAGAGTAATGAAACATAATTGAAAACCAAATTTTTGACAGTAATTAAAGTATTTAATGAAATTAAGAGTGTATTTAAAGTAATGAATGCAGTAATGGCAAGATTTTAAATATTTGGTCAGCAGGCTGCGTTGTATTAAAAGATTAGTGCGTGCCCCTCGAGAAGCCATATAGTTAAAGTATAGACGACTGTCACCACAAAACTGAAAAAAACAACTGTTCCAATCAAGCAAAGCGATGCACTTTGACGGTTTGATTGGAACAACTTTTAACAGACGTCCATACATTCAATGTAGGGCTTTAGGGTACTGCGGATTCAATCAAGCTTCTACAAAGTTTGCTGAGCTTTTACGAAGTCAGCTAAACTTCTATAAAATTTGCTGCACTTCTAGAAAGTTTCCAGAACACTTCTGCTCAGTTCAATGAATTTTAACGACGTTTTTGAAAGTTCTACGATGATTCTTAAAATTCTACAACGTTTCCTTTGCGTTTAAGAAGTTCTCTGAGTTCTACAAAGTTCTCTAAAGTACAATGACGTTCTCTTAACTTTTACAAATTGCCCTTGATTCGCTCTAAGCTAAAAATTATATCAATTCAAATTCTATTAAAATTATGATTTGAAAATTAATCAAATAGGAAAGTATCTTAAATTCAGAATTATTGTTCACTTTGTAACAGGTTACAGATATTCTTCATTTTGTTTTAAATTTGGGAACACGATGAAACTGAATTCTGAACCGGTTGCTGGATGGGTTTTAACACTCTAGAATGCAGTTCGTGACGTACAGGTAGAGGTGGCTCTGGGTTAGGCGTGAAACCAGAAATTCTTATCCGTTGTCTTCCACTTCTTCGAACCTCCTCTTCATTCCGCGTCCTCGGACTTTGCGCTTCTCCACTGAACCTGGCTCCGAGCTGGAATGACCATGTTCGCAATCATCGTTCTGCAACTGGAGCGTCAAATTACGCATTCGTCCAGTCTAACTCCGAATCGTCACCTGCTCCTTTTGGGGCCGATACCATTTTTTGTTCGATACCATTTTTCAAATCATCTACAAATTTCATAGTCAGTTCTAAAAAACTACAGCACTACATACATTCAAGTTGATTTTTTGAGCTCTATAATAAAGTTCAAAATGCTTTGCCCATTTACCCAATTTCATCCGAGGCTCAATCGCTGAAAATTTTACGGAGCCTTAGTTATTTTTAAACTGGCATAACAGCTGCTGTTCTGGCAAAAAAAAAGATGATGACGACTATATGTCCTACATTGAAGCATATTTCCAAACTTTCCACCCCCTTTACAGACCAGCATTGTCTCCATGGCCTTCTCCCAGTCGGAAATGCTCCAGAAAGAAGTCTATCTCTTCGAACGCATCGACTCTGGTCGATCGAACGAACGTCTGAAGTATCTCAAATGCATCGTATTCATCCGACCAACCCGCGACAACGTCCTCCGGCTACAAAGCGAACTAAAAAGCCCCAAATACGGATCGTACTTCATAAGTGAGTATTGCACTTCCATCCACCCAGTCAACCTACCCTCCTAACCACCTTCGGTTTTCAACCAGATTTCAGCAACATCATCCCCCGCACGGACATCAAATCGCTAGCGGAAAGCGACGAGAGTGAATCCGTTCGTGAGGTGAAAGAAGTCTACGCCGACTATCTGCCGGTCAATCCGAACCTCTTCTCCCTGAACATTCCAACCTGTCTGCAAGCCCTCTCCTGGAATCCGGATGCGCTGGAACGCTCCGTTCAAGGCCTGGTCAGCGTTCTGCTTTCGTTCAAATTTCGCCCGGCGATCCGCTACAAATCCAGCTCAAACGCTGCACAAACCCTAGCCAAAAAGATCCACGAAACGATCAACAAGGAAACGGCCCTGTTTAGCTTTCGACCGCCGGAAGATGGATCCCCGCCGCCCTTGCTGCTGATTCTGGATCGTCGTGATGATCCGATTACTCCGCTACTTAACCAGTGGACCTATCAGGCTATGGTGCATGAGCTGCTAACGATCAACAAACAGCGGGTTGATCTTTCCGGCGTGCAGGGCGTTCCGAAGGATCTGAAGGAAATTGTTCTTTCCTCGGAGCAGGATGAATTCTTCTCCGCTAATCTGTATTCGAACTTCGGTGAGATTGCCACCACGATCAAGGGGCTGATGGACGAGTTTCAGAAGAAGGTGCATGATCAGAAAAAGATCGAAAGTATCAACGATATGAAGAATTTCGTCGAGACGTATCCGCAGTTCAAGAAAATGTCCGGAACGGTATCGAAGCATTTGATGTTAATTAGCGAACTGTCGCTACAGGTAGGTTTTTTTTTCTTCTATGGAATAATTTCGATCGATCAAATATCTAAAACAGCATTTCATCCTCGCAGGTCGGTAAACAGCAACTGTTTGAAATATCCGAACTGGAGCAAGAGATCGCATGCCGGGCGGATCATTCGACGCAACTGCAACGGGTGAAGAAGCTGGTTTCGGACGAGAAAATCAATCTTCACAATGCCCTCCGCTTGATACTGCTGTATTCGATGCGCTACGAACGGCATGCCAACTGTGGTACATCCGGTCTGTTGAAGATCTTGCAGGACCGCGGTGGTCGGGCACACATCGTTCCCCGAATGTTGGAGTACATCAGCACCAGTGCTCGGCAGGAGCTATTCAACACGGTTAAGATTACGGATGCCGTCAAGTTGACACGCAATTTGATCAAGGGCCTCAAAGGGGTGGAGAATGTGTACACCCAGCACAACTGCGTGCTGAAAGAAGTCCTGGAGGAATTGATGAGAGGGCGCCCTCTGGATGCGGCTTATCCGATAATGGGTAACGAGTTGCCCTTCCGGAGGCCACCGCAGGAAATTGTGGTCTTCATAATTGGAGGAGCAACATACGAAGAGGGATTGACTGTTCATCGGTATAATCAGGAGGGTTACAAAGTTATTCTGGGAGGAACCACCATCCACAATGCGGATAGTTTCATTGAGGAGATAATGGCTGCTACGGGTGGGGTTCCGTTCAAGCATTCGAGATCGCTGCAACAGTTCCATCACGCACCGGCAGGGGAAGCGTAGGGAGTTTGGTAAATTGTTTCTCTGGTGGACGATGACTACGAATACCGGTAGGCATGGAAGTACCTATATTTAAACAACGTATGAAGCATATTCCAGCTTTGATTGTTACTGCATTCTGACTAACTTATTACCTATGTATCTTTATGTGAGAAATTATAATAAAATATATCGCATAGCTGTGTATCAGATGGAAAAAGTTGCTCGTGCTGATGCCTGTGGAATGATGACAGCCTTTTCGAATCTCGCTAACATTTACAATAGAAACAGAAATTGCCGCCAGCTCAAAGTCAAAAACACCAAGTTTTACATATTTACACGGCCAATGAGATCAACTTAAAATCGCAAAAAGTGCCGGAATTCAGCGATGAGTAAATTTTCCTCATGTTTTCCTGTGGAAAACCTCGAAAATCTGCCGGAAAATGAGGAAAATTGACGAAAATTTTACTCAATCTAGGAGTAGTACCAATAGACTGAGAGATCGATGACTGTTGCTCCATCAGGCACATGGTCATTCCGAAGGTTTGAATGCATCCAACTGCTCCTCGATGACACCACTGAAGCAACCAGCAGGAACACTTTCGGCGCATGCGTCTTCAAATCCACCGATGTAAGCAATTTAAACGCTTCGTCCCGTTTATTCTCGTCCAGTTAGGACATTGTAGTAGATGGAATGAACTCGTTAAAAAATGCTTGTTTTATTGGTGTTTACAATCCAGAATATTGATGAACATATCAAGCCACTAGCGAACCCCACAGCCCACACGTATCAATATATTGACGCAAAGGGGAATTATTGGCAATAATATTGATGATGTGAATACAGAAATATTGTCAATATCGATGTATTGATATCAATATAGAATGTATTGAAAATATGATTATTGTCAATAGAAGCAATCGTGTGGGATCCACTACTGAGTCTCACTTTTGGAATACAGATTCAATATGCATTTAATATAAAAAATGCATTTAATTTCCATCGTTTGCATCAACCATTATGTGGGATGTGAACATCATAACAAAGCATGCGCTTTTTTGGTGACACCTGTACATGCATCGATGCGAAGATAAACAAACACATCAGGAAAAGAAAATTCGTCGCTATGCACGATTTCGGTGGAGCAGAGAATTTAACCTTCCGGTGGAAACTAACGATTTTAAATTGGCTCACAAATCTTCGAAGGCAAGGAAAATCCGTTTGAATTTCCAGGAACTCCCGCTTGCAGCATTCAAAATAACCGAAGTCACGTGGACCCTCGTCCGCCGAGAACGCGAGAAAATGCCATCGACATTTCCTGCAACTACTGTCAGCAGCATCCAATCTTTTCACTGGTATCGTGCAGAACCTCCTTCGCCGACAATGCGGGGAAACTCCGTCGAATGTTTCTGGAAACCTCCGTTGGCAGCATCTGAATTTTCGAGGGAAGTTTCGACGGAGTTTTCACCTGTTCATGGCGGCGAGGATTCCGGTAAATTTCAGTGGAGATTTTCGGTGCTGCCAACGGAGATTCCAGTGAGTTTCAACGGAGTTTTCTTGCGTTTTCGGTGGAGGAGGTTCTGCACGATTCCGGTGGAGATTTCTGATGGTCGAGGAGCTTCTGAAATAACTTTCTCGAGTCAGGAGTGTGGATTTGAGCGAACCGAGACGAACAACAAAACAGGACAAAACTTTTCATGCATGGATGCATGTATTACATCAAATGCATTTTTTTATGTTACAATAAATACACCTCAATTGATCTCCCCCTAGGCTCGATCACACAGTAAATGAAGGGAAAATAAAGTTACAATGTTGTTCAGTGCATGTTCTATTTCTATCGATGATCGCACAGCTCTCTAATACCCCGGACAGACTATGGCTTATATCATATAATATAGGCTGGCTTGCAATGAGCACTCATATATAGGATTTCCAGTGAAAACTAGATGTATGATTGCTCATTGCAAGGCAGCCTATATTACATGATATAAGCCATAGTCTGTACGGGGTATAAAGAAAAACGGGAACATGCGATGCTACACAGCAAAAAAAAAATGTAATATCGATCAACGTAATTCAAGCTGATGTATGAAATAATGATGTAATAGCAAAAAGCAGATACAACGTAATACTACACAACCGGCGGAATGACCTCTGTGCAGCTATTTGGATGTAATACCCCGTTCACATTACTGCGTATATCACGTGATATGCGCTGTCTTGCAATGAGCACTCATACATCTAGTTTTCACTGGAAATCCTATGTATGAGTGCTCATTGCAAGACAGCCTATGTTACGTGATATAAGCTGTAATGTGAACGGGGTATAATATTCAACAACTTTTTTTCTGTCTAGCATACAGGTAACTCGAAGACCAGAAGATCCAGAATAAACGTGCTCAACTTTTTGGCTCTGCTCTGGTACTATCTTCGGTCCCAAGCTAATCGATGCACCCCTCGAAACATAGGAAAATCCACGAACCCCTGTCAAACTTTCATAACGAATCAAAACAAACATTGTGTAGTACTGGAATTTATACTAGAATGGGGTACGTTAATCTATTTGCTTGAAACCAATAGGCTAGTCAAGTAGTGAGCCGATTTGAAATCAATAATTTCATATTGATTGTTAACCCGCATAAACGCGAACCATAAATTGACCTTACCTAAAATGGTTAAAAATTGTTTATAATCCCTGCTAAACTTTAACTGAAATGGTTATGGAACTTTACATGAACGTTTAATGATAAAGTTTCAACCTTATGAATTATGGTTTTTTGGAACTGGACCTTACAAATAATGGGTTGTTAAGAACCATTACCGTTCCAAATTATTGTTTTCTCCATACATTTTCGGAAAGAGAACTATATTAGAACCTTTTAACTTATGGTTTGAGAACTTTAATGGTAATGGTTATGGTAGTCAGTAAGGTCCACGAATGGTTTTGTAACATCGATCAACTTTATGTGGAATATATCGCGAATTGGTTGCCTGTAATTTACTGATTACCAATTCACGATATATTCCACGTAAAGTTGAGCGATAATACAAAACCATTAATGGACCTTACTGACTACCATAACCATTACCATTAATGTTCCCAAATCATAAGTAAAAAGGTTCTTATATAGTTCTCTTTCTGAAAATGTATGGAGAAAACAAGAATTTGGAATGGTAATGGTTCTTAACAACCCATTATTTGTAAGGTCCAGTTCCAAAAAACCATAATACATAAGGTTGAAACTTTATCATTAAACGTTCATGTAAAGTTCCATAACCATTTCAGTTAAAGTTTAGCAGGGATTATAAACAATTTTTAACCATTTTAGGTAAGGTCAATTTATGGTTCGCGTTTATGCGGGAATGCTAGGCTCAGGCATGGAAAATCATTTGCATTCATTTCATACATTCATTTACATTCATTTGCCTCTAACTTTTTTCAACAACAACATTCCGCAAAATAATGTATAGAACTTTTGTAGGTTTTGTTATTAACTACAAGTTTTGCTCGTAACTCAAATCTGTATCTCTTATGCATCGTGAACTAGAGCGGGCAGAACTTGTGACTGTTTTTCAGTGAATGTAAAATACATTCAATGAAAAACAGTAGTGGCTTCTGTTTGCTCTACTTCGTCATGCATTAGAGATACGGATTTGACTTGTTAACAAAAGTTATAGCTTATAACAAAACCTACAAAAGTTCTTTACATCATTTTGCGGAATGCTGTTAAAGAAAAAAGTTAGAGGCAAATGAATGTAAATGAATGCACGAAATGAATGCAAATGATTTTCCATGCCTGGTATGCTCTTAATACAAAGGTGACACACATGGAAGAAGTGTTAGTTTGTTTACTAAAATGAACTATACCCATTTTGTTATGGCAAGTTTTGCTATAAGAAATGCTCCTCGTGTGTATTACCGAAATGCATATCAGAGGTTGATTAATTGCGTAGGAAATCAGTTTGGCATTTGTGACCAGCATACACCTTCCAGTCGTATGAAACAGGTCAAAAACTGTCTAAATCCGCCCATAATTTGTTTTGTTTCGAATTTCTGTATGGCAAAATAGTGAACTTTTCCTGAACATTAACGGCAAAGAACTCACCAACACAGCTCCTACCCACCTGTCATAAAATCATCTCGGACGCTGATGCCCTGTTTACTACTTGTGAGCTTTTTTACTAGCAGCTGGCTCATTAGCGCTAGTGAAATAGTGTAAGTTAAAGAGTCTGAATTTAACGGCGCCGGTGGTGTAGTGGTAAGCGTGATTACCTCTCACCCCAGCAGGCCTGGGTTCAATCCCAGTCGGCGCCGCCGGGATGTTCTGAGGCATAACATCTCTGATCACGCCTTCCTTCGGATGGGAAGTAAAGCCGTTGGTCCCCGGGTCATGAGTTGATGGGTCGATAGGTAGGGTCCAGGTGTGGGAGCTGCCTTCCTGGCACGTCGGTAGCATTGGTGCTCAGCACGGAAAACAAGATCGACAAAAAAACAAACCAAAGGAAAAAAAAAAAAAAAGAGTCTGAATTTATAAAGAGACGACATCTCAGCAATTTGACAGGTCTTCTGCTCGATTGAAATGACTTTTCCTATGACTTTGACAGACAATCGTTTGTTCCTATTTTGACATGTCACCTCTTTATAAATTTAGGCTCTTTAGTATAAGTGTAAACACCGAGGTAAACACCCCATTAGTCTGGAATGTGTTGGAGTAAGATTGCACCCAATGAGGTACAGAGAGAGGTGAAGCAGATCGTGAAATATGGTTGTATTAGTAAACCAAAAAATCAACGTAAACGCAAGTAGTGACGTCACTAATTGCTTGTATCGTACAGGGGTTTTACTCACACAACTTAACCGATTGCTTCACCTCGGTAATCCAGCTCATTGGATTGCACCGACCGGCTGTTGTTGCGACGGCTGCACGTAATTGACCACTTTGTCAAGCAGTTTTGGCGTGATTTTCTACCAGCGATTTCACAAAACTGGACCAACCAATTTCTATGTTTTTATGAAATGCACAAATGTTGGCTACTTATCTCGTGGTTCTAGAAGAAATAGTCTCGAAATAATGTTTTATTTCAAAGTTCGAGTGGTAGTAAACGTCATTTTAACTGCTCGAATGAAGTGGTTAATTTATTTCCAATAGTGCTCGATCACTACATACATGTCCTTGGCCATCTCGAACCGTGCATCCGCGTTGTTCCAGTTTGCTACCAGGTGCCATCGTTGATCTCGGCAGCCGATCCCCAGAAGCTTTACGCTTTCCTAAATTAAATTGCCAACTAGGAGAATTTACGTATAAGCTGAAAGTTCAAGGGATCCTTTGAATACATTCAGTGAAGTAGTGTTTAAGTGAGAAATTTCAGTGAAATTACCGTATACATTTTTGTTGCCGAAAACAGGTCGCAGCCGACAAATTTACCCTATCTCATTCCAACATTTTGAAGAACCGAATCGCACAAACGGCATCAATAACGTGAGCCTGTTCCAGCTTTCCCCAGCGGCTGTAGATTTCGAATGCCATCAGATGCGTTTCGATATTGTCTTTGCTTGTTGAGCGGTCAGAGGAACTTTATCGTCTTATAGAGGGCCAGTTTGTGTGATTTACAGTTCGAAAACTGTAAAAAAATAATACCAAAAAGGGAAACCGTGATTTAGGCCTTCTTCCATTTGGAAAATTTTCACATAAATTTGACACTTAGGCTCTGAACCATTTGGTGGATTATTTTAACTTTTGGTTAAAATTTGACAGATGGAAAGTTATCGATTAACCCTGCTATCCGAGCATGGTTATTTCTGACAGACAAGAAGTTAAATTTTGACGACCATGGCTCGAAAACCGGTCGATCGACAGCACGGGGATTTTCGAACATAGAAAATAACTTTCGAAATGTCACTTTTAACCACGAGTTAAATTTAACTCGACAAATGGTTCACAGCCTTAGAAAATAAATTATGATGATCGAAAATCCCTGTATTGTTGATCATCCGATTGTTTCATGCAAGGTTTCATCACAGAGAACAGACATCCAAGTCAAATTCCTAAAGTGTGTAAGAAATATAACTGCTATTTTGAATAGACATTTGAAACTAGCAATATCGTTGTGGCGCTAGTGTCGCTGCCCATCGACGTCGAGGACCAGCAGCCGTCATCTTAACATAAATGTCAAAATTGTTGTGAGCAATACATTAACCGAGCAAAGTAAAATCGATCGAAACATGGGCCGCAAGTGCGAGCTTTATTGGTGCGCAAATAAACAAGGTTTTATCAAGCGAAAATCTTTACACAATTTTCTTAAGGATGCTGAATTGCCCGTCAGTGAACTCAAAAAAGTCAGTTTTGCACCTGACTACTATGCTCAGTTAAAATTGGAACGAAAAACGATTGTAGATCTGCAAGAAACTGTAGAAGACCTTAGTTTTTTATTCGAAAATAATGGTTCCGCAGAACCTCGATTAATTTCCGTTGTTTTGTCTTGTTTGTTTTGAACTGATTGGACAGTTCATTTAGATACACGGTCAGTTTACGCATTTTTTTGCTCACTTCAGTTTACGCATTAATTGCAAAAAGTGATAACTCGAGTCGCAACATTCCGTATGGCGGTGCTAGCATAGAAGTAACTCTAAGACCACTGGGTCCCGAAGAAAATCATTACTCAGTACCAGAACAACGGTCCCAAGCAGTCCCAAGCTATTTCACTCACCCCTGCATGTTCTGCATGAATCCACACACCCCTGATGTTATCTGTCAAACTTTCATAGCGAATCAAAACAAACATAGTGTAGTAATAGAATTTTAACTAGAATAGGGTACGTTAATCGTTTGCTTGGGACCAATAGGCTACTAACGTGGTGAGCCAATTTAAAATCGTTAGTTTCGTATTGATTGTTGGTGCTAGTGTTTCTAACGTATTTTAATTTGAATGCTTTACACATAATTTTTCGAAAAATTTGTTTAAGCTTGGATGTCTGTTCTTTGTGGTTTCATGTCGGTTTGTCGGTGTTATTTTGATCGGCAGCCCTTCAGAAACGCAATCATCGAAAAGTCTCCACAAAACTATCAGAAATCGTCCATCCCTTTCCGAAGGGGTTCAACAACGATGCAAACTGTCATAAATGAGTCATCAAATGAGTGTCCATCATCATCATCAGACGCAAAAACGTTTCGTTCAAAAGTCGCGTTCGGTTGTGGTTGGTTAGTTGCTAGAGAAAATCCACTTAAATTAAGCGTAAATCCGCGGCCGAAAGTGACCGAAAGCAGTGCCCGCTCCTGGCGGAAGATTGCGAGACGTGAAATGCACTGCGAGTAGCTGAAATAAATAGTCGGAAATTGTCTACCAGAAGCGTTTTGCATTCAGTCGTCTCAGTGAGGGGTCAAGGTAAACCGCGAACCGCAACCACCCTTCAGTCTTCTGCGTGTGCACTGCTTGCGGGGAATAATTGGAGGTTAGAATTTTGTAATTATTGTTTACATGGGATGTCATTTTAGATTTTTTTTTTTTTTTTTTTTTTAATTTCTAGATACAAGGAACAATGAATCACAACAACCGGAAGTTCACGTCGTTCAGCGATCTGAGTGTGACGAATATGAGCCGGACGCTCAGCAGTCCGGTGGCAGAGTCGACACACCTAGAAGGATCGGGAAACAACCGGAGTGGTTTGTTTGCGAGCCCAGTCAAAGTGGTGGGCGCAAGTGTGAAGCGGAAACCCACCTCGCCGTTGCTCAACAGCCGAACCAGTTTCAAAAGTAGCGGCAATCTTTCGTCGGTGGGATTCGGCCGGATAGATTCACAGTGAGTTTTAGTGACATTGGAATGGCTAGGGGAAGTGGAGAACTAATGTTGAGGGTTTCTGTTTCAGGGTTTACACGGATGCGCAAAGCCGAGGACTAGTTAACCGGCTGGTGAAGTACCATGATAGGACACAGTCGCCACTGAACCGGAGTCAGTCGATGACCAGCATCTACAGCAAGCCGGGTCAGTTTCCGGTGGTGCATTTGAAGAAAACGGAGATTAAGTACTCGCCCCGGCGAAACAATTCTATTACGTCGGTTCGGATCGCTCCCCCGGAAAAGTCCGTTTTTCAGGCAAACACCCGGTCGAACATCTTGAGGGCAGGATCGTTGCTGATTCCGGCGGAACCACATTTAAAACAGTCCCGGGGTCCGGCGCCGGAGGATGAAATTGATGCCGAAAATAGGGTCATAGCACCGACGACGGAATTGGAAGCGGCACCGACGAGAAGCGTCCTGGATGCATTGAAGGAGATTTCCCGGAAGAGGATAAACAATGAGGAGTTGGATGCGGACAGGATCAAGAAGCAGTGTAAGGAACTTTCGGAGGTGGATTCCGGGGGTGGTGGCGGAACGAAACGAGCACGGGAACTCACGTCTTCGACTTCGCCACCTTTGAGAGGATCCGGTGAACAGCAACTGCAGAAGAAGCGATTGTGCTGCAAAAATAATGACATTTTGAGTTCGTTGAGTTCCAGTCTGGTGATGAGCACGCCGAAGCGAGTGGAACATATTCAACCGAAACCGGGCAGGTTGAATGTGGATCAGACTTTTTCCACGCCCATGGCAACTGCGGTTGGATTGAATGCCACGGTGGCGACGGAGGGAAGAGTTGAAAGTCGAGAGCCGGTGAAGGTGAGCAGGTTGGAATCGGCACCGTTGCCGCAGATAGTGAGGAGTGTCCCGGAAATTATGCCGTCTATAAGGCCGAAGCCAACGCAACCGAAGATTACGTTGTTTAACAAGAAGTACGATGAAACGGTGGTCAGGCCGGTGGTTAGTGACAGCGAAGAGCAGGAAGACGAAGAGGAACTGGGAGGACGGATTAGCTTCATCAAGCCGAAGGATAAGTCACCCATTTTGAACTGCAGTAAAGTCACTTTAAAGCAGGTTGAGAAGTCGAAGCTGTCGATGATTCTGAGTTGCTTGAGCGAGGACTTTGATGATGAAGAAGAGGAAGCACCGAAGATGGCCCTGAAGGCTCCGATTGTGGTAAAGGATTCGGTCGATGCGGTACCGCCGAAGATTGAAGAGAAAAAAGTGGAAGTGGTGGTTTCCAAACCAAGTGGAATCGCTGCCTTGATCAGTGAACCCATCAAAGATCCCGGATTAGGAAAGATTGTGCCTCCTAAACCGGCGGAAGCGGTTAAAACGAGTGAGCCGTCAAATATAACCGGAGGATTCAGTTTCGGAACACCTACCAAGTCGGACAATAATGCTACTTTCTCCTTCCAAACACCAACGAAATCTACGACTCCGGTGGAATCGAAACCGGCCGCAAAACAGGCCAGTGGTTTTTCTTTTGGAAGCACTCCAGCAACAGTCTCGAAAGCGGATGCGCCTCCAGCGTACAGCTTCCCCTCGACAACCACTGCAACTTCAGCTCCTACACTGACTACTTCCGGTTTCGCTTTCACATCATCCGCACCATCGTCGATAATCGCAACGCCGAAGACCACCCTGACAACTCCCAATCTGATCAGCTTCTCACCAGTTCCAATATCCAAATCGGAAGCACCAAAGAGTGGCTTCTCGCTTCTACCAGCGATTTCCACTAATGCTTCTTCGGGAAGTCCTCAAAATTCTTTCAGCATCAGTCAGTCTACCATCCCTACCTTCGGCAGTGGATCCGGATTCAGTGCTTTCAAGCCTCTTTCGCCGACTGGTTCATCCGCGGCAGTTTCAACCAGTGCTTCCAATCATCCATCGTTTGGAAGTGTTGCGGCATCTACTACCGGCGTGACTGCTACCACTTCCGGTGGAGGTTTCGCATTCGGGGCTTCGAACTTAAGGCCCACCATCACCGCGGCAGCAGTGGCAACAACGACACCATCATCAACCACAAGTGCATTCACGTTTGGAGGAGCAACTTCCGGTGCTCCCGCTCTCACAGCATCCGTATCAACTCCCGCCTTCGGTGCACCTGCCGTAGCAAAGTTCGGCTTTGGATCGACCACAACTGCCGCCACCTCAGCTCCTTCGTTTGGCTCAACCATTACGACTTCGGCGGCCCCTTCCTTCGGCGGTGGATTCCCAGCATCAGCCCCGCCAACAACGGCACCACCGCCGTTCGGCAGCGTCTCGAGCAGCTCTACCACTTCCGTCACTTCGCCACCTTCCTCGGGCATATTTGGCGGTGGGGTGGCTAGCAAACCTGCCTTCGGCCAACCGGCGGCAACCAATTCCAGTTTCTCCTTTGGTGCTGCCGCTTCGCAACAGCCCACCAGCACAACTAGTGCCGGTGCATTTTCCTTTGGGGCGGTAGCACCGACGGCTACCACGGCAGCTCCGACGACGACTAGCAACATCTTTGGAAGTGGTGGAAGCAGCAATACGGCAGCCAGCTTCGGTGCAGCTCCTTCCTTCACCAACCATCAGGTCCAGGCGTTTGGCAACGCTAATTCTGGCAATCCACCCGCTTTCGGGGCTTCCAATAGTGGTACGGCTCCGGTAGCACCGACAGCAAGTGGTTTCGGAGCAACGCCGGTATTTGGTGCCGCTTCCAGTTCGCCAGCAGTTCCGGCTAATGCGAGGTGAGTTGATTGATTTTAACGCCCGAATGTATGCAACTGTATATGCGTGACTCTTTTGTTGCCGCAGATGGCCTTAAATATTCATATTAACGCTTCCCATCCTTTCAGCTCCGTCTTTGGCGCATCCTCAACGGTCACATCCCCGTTTGGCGGGATCACTTCGGCATCGGCACCAACTGGCAACATATTCGGTGCCCCCAGCTCTAACAATAATCAATCCAACGTCACCTCAGGCTCATCGCCGTTTTCGTTTGGAGCATCTCCAGCGGCTCCAACAAACTCAGCAGCAACATCTTTGGCACCGACGGCAAATAAATCGTTCTCCTTTGGAGGAATCGGAAGCACCAGCAACAACATTACGTCAACTTCCGCCGCAAACCCTGTCAACAGTTTCGCCTTTTCGGCAGGATCGAACTCATCCGCACCGGCTCCAGCGGCACCGGCGGCATCCGCTTTCAGCTTTTCGAACACAAACAACAATAACAACAACAATAATAGCTGCATGGCGCCTCCACCGGCTTTCGGGAGTACCGGAAACTCTTCTTTCTCCTTTAACGCCAGTAACACCAGTAGCAGCAATACAGCTACCGTCAAACCGTTCTCCTTTGGAACACCCGCTCAACCGACGACGGCCGCGCCAGCCGCTTCTGGCGGAGGACTTTTCGGAGCCGGTGCAACATCACCTCCGCCGGCGTTCAACTTTTCTGCTGGTTCGAATGCCATCGCAGTTGGCAACACTGGTAGCGGTGGACCTGCCGCATTCTCGTTCGCCGGTGCAAATCCGGCAGCTGCAGCCGGAGGCCCTTTCGGAATGTCCAACGGAGCCGGGGCGCCGATGTTCAGCATAGGAACCGGAGGTGGCGCCAATGTACCACCCGGTCGAAGACCCATCCGGACGGCCACACGGCGCCTCAAGTGAAAATGGGCCTCCACGGTGAGTGACGGCTTAGATATGTATTGATACTTGTTTCGGCTTATTTGTATTTGTGTATAATAGGTACGGTATTCTGAATCCAGTTGTTTATTATTATTTTTTTTGAAATTATTGCATAATGCAAGAAATTCTGTCTGTTTTTCTTGACGTGAAAAATCTGTTAGTCTAAACTTATGGAACATATTCTGCTAAAACAAGGTGACGATTGTGTGTTCGTCGGTCATGTAATAAACTATGCAACTAGGTGATATATTTAATTGAAACTTGTTTTGCAGCGAAAGTAGACGGAAAGAATGCCCCTTAGAACGGACCAACCTGCTGATTAGTGTTTTGTACATGGAAGGGCTGAATAGTTAATGCCTTCCCTAATAAAAGAAAATATGAAAATACCATAACCGACTGATAAGCCCAAATGATAGAACTATTCTACTCTGAATACGCCGTTAAGCAAAATAACGATACAAATTGTAGTAGGGTTGTTCGGACTGGGTATAGCGTCTTTGTAACGTGGTATACTAATTATCAATTTATCAAAATGTAATGCAAAAATGATCTACAGTTTTGAAAGCATTTCGTTTTCCTGGACCAGTCCGTAGGTGAGCCGAACTAACTGATACCCATCGTAGATGGCCCAAACGGTGAAGAGGCCAGGAACTATGCCCGACAGGATGTAGTTGTTGGCATGGACCCCGGAGGCTATGGCAGCAGCCCTCAGCGAAGCGGGCAGATGCAACCAGTTGTACATTTGGATGGCGTTTCTAATGCAAGTAGCTCGTAGTGCTTGTTTCCCGACCCGGCTCGTCAGTGCCTTAGCCCAGAGATTAAGCATCAAGCCAGATCCAAGTGTTGCACCGGTAAAACGAACAGCTGGTCCAGTGATTGGACTATCGGCAATACTCTGGTAAGCTTGTTTCCCAACGTCGATGGTCTCGGATGCAACTTTGGAAGTGGTCCCGACAGCTGAGCCAATCTTGGATTCCGTCCACTGGACCATTTTTTCCGTAACAGGGCTTTCGTTAACGTTCCGGTACACTTGCTTTCCTGCGTCGATGGTTGCGGTGCTGGCTTTGGAAGTCAGCTGGAAAACATGACTAACTGCTGCATTTTCCTTTAATTTGTTGGTCGCCTCGAGGGCGATGCCCGCAGTGGCATCTCCAGTTTTGTGGAACACACGGCTTAGTCCGTTGGCTAGATTAATCATCTGCTCCATATAGCTGGGTTGTTGAGAGGGCTCCGCATCGTTGTTGCTATCCGGTGGCATCTTCAGCTGCACATAAGTTTTTTTTTAAGTTTTGAAACAGGTAAACTACTAGGTATAATGAGTCACGCCAAGACTCCAAAGTCATCTGAAATTAAATCAGGGTTATTCCGGTTATAGTCCTCTCCAGCCGGTTTCGTATTGGTGCGATTTGCGTGTGTTAGTGAGATGAATTTTTTTGTTAGCTGTGAGAAATTTTTTGTTTGTTGTTAGAACTGTCATTCTCAAGTAAAATAAACAACAAAACGAAAACAAACCCTACGCTTGCACGGTAACAGTCAAGTACCCTTTTGTGAGTAAAGGTTAACCTAGTTTTGATAAAGGTGGTTTTACTCATTAATGAGTATATTATTTTAACAACAATGAGTTTCTGCTAACAGTAGCTAACAGTTACTACTTAATTGGCATAATGAATTACTCATTAATAAGTGGTGCCGCTTTTATTGACAATGGGTTCACTTTTACTCACAAATAGATGTTTGATTCTTACCGTGCACATGCCAGTATACGCTAGTGTGTGAAAAATTATGTTATTACTGTAGGTTCGTGAGATCCTGCTTGGAGAACTCAATAGAGTTCTCTACCACCGTTAGTATTAGTGAGAAGTTTCACTTATACATGCGTTTTACTGGTTGAAAATAAAAAACAAACCGCTGTCAAGTCGAACACTTTGACAGCTGATTTCGTGGTTGAAAATAATTGGCGTTGACGGCACCGTCGAAAAATTTGCTTTTCCACCAAATATAGACAGTTTCTTATGGGAATTTTCGGTGGAGTGAAAGGATAGTACAAAGTCCGCCATGTTTCACGCACAGTCTGACGTTTGCTTATGGATTTTCTCATAGGAGTAAAGAGCTACAGAGTCGCCGTCAACGCCAATAAACAAACCGATTTTACAGGGCTGCCCTAGCTAGGTTGTTAAGGCTCTGAACCATTTGGTGGATTATTTTAACTTTTGGTTAAAATTTGACAGATGGAAAGTTATCGATGAACCCTGCTATCCGAGCATGGTTATTTCTGACAGACAAGAAGTTAAATTTTGACAACGGTGGGTCGAAAACCGGTCGATCGACAACACGGGGATTTTCGAACATAGAAAATAACTTTCGAAATGTCACTTTTAACCACGAGTTAATTTTAACTCGGCAAATGGTTCACAGCCTAACCCGCATAAACGCGAACCATAAATTGACCTTACCTAAAATGGTTAAAAATTGTTTATAATCCCTGCTAAACTTTAACTGAAATGGTTATGGAACTTTACATGAACGTTTAATGATAAAGTTTCAACCTTATGAATTATGATTTTTTGGAACTGGACCTTACAAATAATGGGTTGTTAAGAACCATTACCATTCCAAATTCTTGTTTTCTCCATACATTTTCGGAAAGAGAACTATATTAGAACCTTTTAACTTATGGTTTGAGAACTTTAATGGTAATGGTTATGGTAGTCAGTAAGGTTCACGAATGGTTTTGTAACATCGATCAACTTTATGTGGAATATATCGCGAATTGGTTGCCTGTAATTTACTGATTACCAATTCACGATATATTCCACGTAAAGTTGAGCGATAATACAAAACCATTAATGGACCTTACTGACTACCATAACCATTACCATTAATGTTCTCAAATCATAAGTAAAAACGTTCTTGTATAGTTATCTTTCTGAAAATGTATGGAGAAAACAAGAATTTGGAATGGTAATGGTTCTTAACAACCCATTATTTGTAAGGTCCAGTTCCAAAAAATCATAATTCATAAGGTTGAAACTTTATCATTAAACGTTCATGTAAAGTTCCATAACCATTTCAGTTAAAGTTTAGCAGGGATTATAAACAATTTTTAACCATTTTAGGTAAGGTCAATTTATGGTTCGCGTTTATGCGGGAAGTGAGATGTTGCGTCGAGAAGTCAATAAGCAAACGTCAGACTGTGCGTGAAACATGCACGGTAATCAAAACAAACTCTCTTATGACTATAAAGTACGCTCTTTCTTTGGAAAATGGGACTACCCAATAAACACGCTAAGAAAAAAGTATGCATTAATGTTTAAACTTTAACCAGTTTCGAGAAAACCCGCACATATTCATAAAATGAATAAACGCTGTTTACTCATCGGATGAATAAACACGTTTTTCTCGAAAGTGATTAAATTTTAATCATTAATGAATAAAGACGTTATTCCCAAAAGTGGTTAAATTGTATGCACTGGAAGGAATTTAAATGGCTGATTTCGTTTATTTTAAACATATATTATTATAAATTACAATCGAATAAAATCCAATAAAAAGTAACGTTTATTTCAAGATTCTGGTTCGTGTTGCTGTTTGGTCCACCGCCTTAGTGACCTTGTACACGGTGACCGGAGAATACTCCGTTCTTCTGCTGCCGGTTGGTCCCCTTGGTTTCAACGCAGAATCCATCATGTGATTCGCGAGGCTGTTCATATCGGCAATGGTTGGCAATGGTCAGGAGGATACTCTGCTGTGGTGGTGTTGTTTCTGCCCTTGGTGGTGATTCAATGTTGGGAACATGCTGCTCCTGGCGAATCTATCCTAATTGCGTACAAAGCAGTGTAGTCCAATCACGGAACACCTTCACACAATCCGGAATCGGATGTTTCCTTGTTTTCGCGATCCTTTCGTCGACCTTCCCGTTCCGGTGCCCGGCGAACTCGATCCGGATCGTTGTGCTGCCGTTTGACGCCCTATGTAGTGGGGATCAAAAGTTTTGAAATAACAAAACAATGTACCTTGTTAGATATACTTACTATTATCATCGACCATCTCTTTGGCCTGATCCCGCACATTCTGTCCTGTTTCCAAAGTCGGAAACAGATTCCGCGGAACAAAAACTTTATTTTCGTTCCGGCACTTGATTCCGAAGGAAGCCGCAATTCCTGCTACCAAATTTAGCAGCGCGGGAGAAAAGTTGCTATTCGTAGAAATGTCAAAATGCTCACTTATATAGGATTTCCAGTGAAAACTAGATGTATGAGTGTTCATTGCAAGACAGCCTATTACAGAATATTACATGATATAAGCCATACCCGGAAAAAAATAACCATACAATTACCATACAATAAAATACAATTACAAGGAAATCTATTGCCAACAATCGATCTTATTGTGCGTATATAGCACACGAAATTTTAACAGATTGTTATAACAATAGATGTACAATACGTCCCATTTAGCAAGAGTTTTCAATATTAGAATAACAATACAATTAATGGTAAACGGCTCAAGTTTGTTCGGGAAAAAGTGATATTTCGTATGGTTAAGATACATAACGACCCCCTTGTTCTATTGTGTATTCCCCCATTTACCATAGATTCTATTGTAGAAACAATACATTCTATTGTAATTTTATCGTTGTGGAGAATGCGATTTATTGTAAATACAATAAACTCTATTGTATGGTTACAATACAATTAATTGTACCTCTATGGTTCTTTTTTTTACGGGATAGTCTGTACGGGGTATTAACGAACTGATGAAAATAGTGTAAAATCTAATTGCCTAGGAAAACAATATTACGGCACTTTCAATTAAAAATGTAATTAATACGTGCAACTCTAATCAAAAATACCATATCCAAAATGATAGAACTATCCCTCAAATGGTTCGGATGATACGCTGAATACGTCGTTAAGCAAAATAACAATTTTATTAGGGCAACATTTTGCTAGTTTTGCCCTAATCATTGTTTGCTCCGGGAGGTACTGGGTACCCTATCGTTTATTATTATGACAGCAATCGAATCAAAACAACGTGCCGCAGCCAAAACAAAACAACGTGCGCGCACCGGAACAACAACAACAAGTTTTGTCGCAGCAATATTTCCCGAAAAGTTTTCTAAAATAGTGAAAAGCGTACAAATTGCAGTGTAATGAAAAATCTGTACCGTCTCGCTCACCAGAGCGCCCGCTTCGAGGGACTCCCGTTGTCCCCGGATGGTGGTGGCAATCACAGTCACCTGATGGTCGTCGATTCCAACAACAGCAATTTGGTGTACGTCGTTGTCGGTTCGTCGGAAGGTGCCCATGTATATCGATTGGACCGCTCAGATCCGCTGGATTGTCGTGAGTTGCTATCGATTCCGGTAACAGTGGTCGCCGTCGAGCATTTGGCTTTGAACGATGAACTGTGTCTGGCTACCGAGGCCGGCGAGGTGTTGGTGCTGAACGTGACAACGACGACGGGGGATCGAGAACCGGAGGTGGTTACGTTCTGTGCGGGGGGATTGAAAGCGATGGGTTGGAGTCCAGTGCAGGAGGTGGTGGTGTTTGTTGATTGGTAGGATTTTGGGACGCTTGCATGAAAGGTTGAAAGTAATTACCTGTTTCGCTGTAGGAAATTGAACGTGGTGACGATGAACAGTGCGTACGACCCGATCAACGAAGTGTGCCTCAAGGACGACACCTTTGGAGACCGGGAGTTTATGAGCGTCGGGTGGGGCAAGAAGGAAACGCAGTTCCATGGGTCCGAGGGCAAGAGCGCCGCTCGGAAGAAGAAGGAAGAGGCGGAAATGGCGATTGATGTAAGCAAGATTGATCCCAAAGTACAGATCAGTTGGAGAGCGGATGGGGCGTACTTTGCGGTGGGATTCCTGGGTCCGTTTGGGAGAGCATTCAAAGTGTTCAACCAGGAAGGTGCTCTCCAGTTTACTTCGGAGAAATGCTACGGACTTGAGGTTCCGATGGGTTGGAAGCCTTCCGGGTTATGGATCGCGATTCCTCAGATATTGAAGGAAAAATATGTGGTATCATTGTTCGAGAAGAACGGGCTGAAACACAGGGAGATTGAGTTGCCGTTCAGGCAAGAAGATGAGATGGTTAACGGCATATCTTGGAGTCACGACTCGGAAGTGTTGGTCCTTCAAACTCGCAAGAATGCTAGTGGCTTGAACTGTCTGTACTTCTACATCGTCTGTAACTACCACTGGTACATGAAACAGTATCTAGAAGTAAATGAGGAAATTTTAGGACTTCAGTGGGACTTGAAGTACTCGGAAGGCAGAACTCTTCATGTTTTGCTGAAAAACGGTCAGTACGAAGCTTCCCGATGGGAGTTTTCAGTGGATCACTCGACGGGGTTGAAGCAATCCGACGAATCGCTGGTGGCAGTGATCGACGGAGGATCCGTATTGTTGACCAACTTTCGGTGTGTCGTTATACCGCCTCCGATGTGTGGATTTACGCTGAAAGTGGACAGTTTGGTCAACTCGGTTGGATTCTTAAGGAATCCGGAAGGGCAGCTGGATTCCAATTGCTTCTTCGCAGTTGATTCCTACAACAAAGTAAGCTTCTATCGTCCGGAGTTTACAGAAAACGCAATTCGTCACCTCAGTGGTGCCCAATCTCTGGGGAAGCCTTTGGAGATTGGTCCCGGAAACTATTCGCATTGGCTCTGGTTGAGAAATGATGTCCTACTCGGCGTTGAAGGATCTAATCGGTTGAAGATCTTCTCAGTAGACGTTTTCAGTGGCGAACTTGCCATCTTAGGAACCCTAGAAGTTGGTTCTGATACTGATCGAGTCGGTTGTATCGAAGGAATCAACGCAGCGTCCGCCCTCGTCGAAACAATGACGGGGCAGCTGTTCAAATTACTTCTGCAGCCTTCCGTTTCATTAGAAGAAGACCTTAAACTGCCGGAATTTTGCGAACAGCTCCAAATTTGCTCCGTGGATCAGTTCGACTATAAGGTTTACTCCCTAAAGAACCGTCAGAATCTCTACGTAGATGGTTCAAAGCTCGCTTCCGATGTTACTTCGATGTTCCTAGCCGAGCACTACCTGCTGTTCACAACGATCGCAGAACTCAAGTTCGTCAACCTGCAGAACAATGTGATCGTCGGCGATCGTCGCGTCGAGCGTGGTTCCAAACTGGTGGTCGTCGTTGCCAAGTCGGCTCGGACCGTCTTACAGCTACCGCGAGGTAATCTGGAAGTGATCGCTCCCCGTATTCTGTCCCTGTGCCTGGTCGCAGATCACCTGAATGCCTTGGAATACTTGAAGGCATTCGATATCCTCAGAAAGGAGCGCATCAACTTGAACCTGCTAGTTGATCACAACCCGCAGCTGTTCCTGTCTAATTTGGACTGCTTCCTGCAGGAGATTACCAACGTCAACTGGTTGAATCTGTTCATAAGCGACCTGCAAAATCAGGACGTCTGCATGGCCATGTACGAGAGTAATTATCAGGGACGTGAGTCCGCCGTTATCGATGGGTACAATGTGAACGCGAAGGTGGAATACCTTTGCGATCGGTTGCTGCAGGTGATGAACTCAGCGAAAACGGACGTAAACTATATGCTTCCGAAGATCACATGTTACGTGAAGAAGGGAATGCTAGAGCAGGCCTTGGAGGTCATTTGGAACCTCAAAAAAGGGCAAGGGACGAGCGAAGATGCTGACGAAGCCCTCAAGTACCTTCTCTACTTGGTGGAGGTGAACGATTTGTTCAACGTAGCCCTGGGGATGTACGACTTTGGTTTGGTCCTGTTCGTGGCTACCAAATCCCAAAAGGATCCGAAAGAGTATCTTCCATTTTTGAATGAATTGAAACGCCTGGACGAAGACTACCGAAAGTACAAGATCGACTGCCACCTGAAGCGATTCGGTAAGGCGATCGAGAACATTGCCAGATATCGGGACGACGAGAACAAGTTCCACGAGGCACTCCAATTGACGATCGCCCACGGGCTGTATGGGAAAGCCATGGTTGCGTACAGGGATAATGAGAAGTATTACCGGAAGATTTGCTCTTGCTATGGAGATCACTTGAGGCAGAGCAACAAGCAGGTGGATGCCAGTTTGATCTACGAGAAGGCTGGAGACTACCAGCAGGCCATTGCCTCGGCTAGGAATGCTGCCGACTGGGAGAGGTGCCTCAAATTAGCTACAACTGCGGGATACGGGGACGAAGAGTTGAGACGACTGGTTCAATCGTTGATTCCCGCCCTTCAGGAAAGTGGAGAGTACGAAGCGGCATCCCGCTTGGCCAAGGATCACCTGAAGGACCCAAAAATCGCAGTGGAAATTCTGTTGGTTGATCACCTCTTCGGTAAAGCGCTGCTGGAAGCACATCTTTCGGATCGGGCACTTGTAGAGGAATTGATTCGCCCTAATTTGCAAGATTATCTGCAAACATTCCTGCACGAATTAACCGCTGAAAAGGAACAACTCGTGAAACAAAAGAACCGACTTTTGATGGTTCGGGAAGAAAAGGCCAAGAAGAAGCTGGATCAAGAGCTGGGCGAAGAAGACGGCAATGGTCGGGATCTGGAAGATTGCGATTTGTACTCGGAAACGTCAACGGTGGCCTCTTCTAGGCATACTAGCAGCTCCGGACGATCTAGGTAAGTTCAGTTAGTTGCTTCTTATAAAATCTTAACTAAATGTTTCGGCTTCTATCTAAAACGTTCCAGCAAATCGAGCCGCTCCAGCAAGAACCGCCGGAAGCACGAACGCAAACTGCTCAGCCTCAAGGAAGGCAACGCATACGAGGATATTGCCCTCGTCGATGCACTGCACACGTTAGTATCCCGTGTGTGCGGCATCGAGCGACAGCGTCAGGTGCGAGCCCTCTGCAAGGCGGCCATCGAGATGGATTTCCTGCAGCAAGCGGCCACGATCCAGAGGGACTATGCCGAGCTGTTGCACTTGGTGAAATTTTCTCTGGATTCCATTTGGATACCGGAAATGGTGGTGCCCGGCAGTGGGCAAGACGTTGAGGCGACGGCAATCGCTACCGGGGATCTGAGCCAGGTGCAGAACGTGCAGCACTATGCGATGATCAGTAAGTTTGAATCCCTTTGCTGCATAATTGTAAAATGGAAAGGAAGTAACTGTTGATTGGTCAATTCCAGAACCCCACCAGCGATACAAGCCGGATCTGCAGATCGTTCCGTGGCAGTTTGAAGTGTTGAAGTGATTTGGTGATTGTTCCGGAAGCGGAAGTAAAAGAAAATGAATGAGAATATAGGTAAGTGTTACTGCGGAAAGTGAATTACTTCAGTGACGACAAATTAAATTGCTGTTTGTTTTGGAAATCTTTAAAAGAACATCCTTGTTGTGTCGTGGGAATTGATTTTAACACTACGGAGGATCCAGAGCATACATACCTTGCTCAATGCAATCAGCTCTTCCTATTTGAACTAATCATTGAGTTAGGGGAAATATCGAGTACGTTTCGCCGAGCCATTTATTAAGAAAAGCAGCTAACGGCTATTTGACTATTTATCTTTGAAATCCGGTGTGAAAAATAGATTCCCAGAATCGTTTAAAAAAGGTCCGATTCCCGAATATTTTTCTAACCTCTCAGTATGTTAAAACTTTCTTACAAACAATTAAATTGACTGCAAGTCGCTATACCGTAAATCTTTCTAAGAATCTTGATTTTATATTATAATGTTGTCAAATTGATTCCTGGGCTGTCAGAAATAAGTCTGGCACAGTAGCAGGTTTATATTGTCGTGATAGTCGAGAGTTATGGAAAGACGACTACTTCTGTCGAAGGATAATTAGAAGAATGATTTATTTAACTTCAAACTCAAACTCATGGCTGCTACGATCTAACATATCTTAATAGAGCTACTACGATCGGTTTGCTCGTTCTTGACACCCCTCCTCAAACTGATCGCGGGAAAACTCCGATACTCGAACAGTGCTTCCGGAACGGCATCGTCGACAAACCTTTCGTCAACAAGTCAGCTCACCCGTTGGAATGTAGCGAACTTCAAGTTTCTTCGAAGCTACACACCCGCTCAAAATGTATCTTGACGTCGGTGTGCTTTAAACGCTTCGAAGGTCCGGCTGATTTCATGATAGCAATGGTTGATTGATTATCTTCATATAAAAGTGGCGGCTGCGGTTCGAGCACCCCCAAATCCTCCAAGACCTTGCCGATCCAAATGGCCTCGCACGCTGCGTCTGCTAAAGCGGAACATTCCGCTTCGGTTGACGACAAGGATACGGTGCTCTGCTTCCTGGTACTCAAACAGACTGTGACTCCGTATAGCTTGAACAGGATTCCCGAAACCGAACGCCTTTCGTTGATATCCGTATCCCAGTTCGCGTCCGCATAGCCAGTCACTTGCCGGATGGGACCGGTCGACCGGTCGTACACCAGTCCGTGGTCAGCTGTCCCCTGCAGATACCGCAAAATCCGCTTGGCGTGCACCCAGTGATCTTCGGATGGATTGCTCTGGAACTGACTGAAGTAATTCACCGCTGCGCTGAGATCTGGTCTGGCATCACCATCAAATAGGTGAGGCAACCTATCAGCTCACGGTATGGCTTCTCCAGCTTCTCGTCCGTGTCGTTCTTCACAAGTTGCAGACCCGCTTCCATGGGAGTTGATACGGGCTTGCACTTCTCTATTTCGAATCGCTTCAGGATCGATTTCGTGTAGTGTTCCTGACTTAGTCGCATTCGTCCCGACAACACGTCCCGGTTAATCTTCAATCCCAGGAACATCTTCGCTTGGCCCATGTCCTGCATCGAGAACTCCGACTTCAGCAGCTTCTTGATGGTACCGATGACTCCCAAGGAACGAGAGACGACGAGGATATCATCGACGAACAGCAGCAGGAACACCTTCTCACCATCACGCTCACATACGTACAGGCAGCTGTCACTCTCGGACCTGCGAAAGCCGATCCGGGTTGCAAACTCGTGTAAAAAGTCGTTCCACGCCTTCGATGCCTGCTTCAAACCGTTGATGGATTTGTTTAGCTTACAGACTCGATCCCCCTCCTCAAATCCTGGAGGTTGGCGCACGTAGATCTCCTCCGAGAGATGACCGTTCAAGAACGCCGTCCGGACGTCCATCTGGTGGATCAGCAAATTCTCCTGGTTTGCCAATCCCAGCACCATTCGAACCGTCGACATCTTCACCACCGGAGCTTAGGTTTCAGAGTAATCATATCCATACCGCTGCGTGAATCCTTTGGCAACCAATCTTGCCTTGTGCTTGTCTACGTTGCCATCCGGCGTCATCTTCAGCTTGAACACCCATTTGCAATCCATCGGTTTTCGTCCCGACGGTAGATCCACCAGCTCCCAGGTATTGTTTTCGGTGTACTCCATTAGCATTCCACGGTCTCGGCAATACTGCTGGAACTCGTTGCCGACGTATTCTCCGCCGTTGTCGCACCTAAGGCGACGGATCTTGCTGTCGAAATGCCCCTCAGCTATGCTCGCGTACTGCTTGAAGACCTCCAGTACCTCCTTTTTCGTCGCAAGGATGTATACGGCGGTAAAATGAGTAAAATCGTCGGTGAATGTAACGAAATACATTTTTCCGTTCCAGGTTGTCGGGGTCAGCAAACCGCACACGTCGCTGTGTACCAGCTCCAACGGCTTGTTGGATCTCGGAACTGGTACGTCTCCAAAAAGGCTGTCTCGCATGCTTCCCAAGCACACAAGGTTCGCACACTTCGTTGTCTTGAAATTCGTCCTTCCTCAGCACCATGCCGTTGACCATCTCGTTGTGCACCAGAGTCTTCAGACCACTCTTGCCAATGTGGCCGAACCTCCGATGCCACAGCTCGTACTCGTTCACCGGCAAGACTACCAGCGCTCCATCCACTGGTCCACGCTTCCCGGTGGAGTTCAGCACGTACAGCATGCCGGACAATTTACCAGTGGCAACCACTTCGCTGCCGTGCTTGATTTCCGCAGCATCACCTCCAAACGTCACACGCATCCCAAGCTTGCCGATGCGCCGAATGGAAAACAGGTTGTACTGCAGTTCCGGCACGTACAGGACGTCGTTCACCACGCTGTTGATTTGACGCTTTCCGACCATCGAGACCATGCTTACCGTGCCAAAGTGATAGCTGTACACGACCTTCCCGGAGGCCACCACGATTAGCACCGGATTGTCCAGCTTCACCACGTCTCGAAGGCAATCCGCTGACTGCACCATATGTTCGGAGGCGCCTGAATCGAGAATCCACCAGAACTGACTCAGATTCCCACCGTCACGCTTCGCTTCACCGTCCGACTCCGTTACAAACGCCACTCCGGACCCAGCGACGTTGGCCTTTTCCTTCCTCTTCGGCTTCCCGGACGACTTCCGTTGGTCGAAGTCCTTCTTCATGGGGCAGTTTGCGCGTTTGTGACCCACTTTGCCACAGGAAAAACACTTCATCTTGGGCCGCTCACTGAAAAACGCCGACTCACCATCCAGAGTGCCTTCCGGTTCGCAGTTGTTCTGACGCTTCACGTTTTCACTCAGCAACCTGGCCTTCACAAATTCGAGTGTGCACTGCTCCGCCGGCAGGGTTTCGAGGACTGTCACCAGCTGCTGGAACGATTTCGGCATGGTTTGCAGCAAATTGAACACCACCAGCCGCTCGTGCATCACGATGTCCGCCGAGGCCAGCTCCCGGATGATCCTCTCGAACCGCAGCAGGTGCTCTTCCATCGGTTCCGCTTCGCTGTACTTCATTACGGCCAGTTGCTTCAGTAGGTAAAACTGGCCGGAAATTCCCTTCTTCGCGAACAAGTTCTGCAACGTTGCCCAGATCGACTTCGGAGTAGATTTGACCTTGATGTACTCCAGCTGCGAATCTGCGATCTTCTCCACCAGCAACGACTTGCAACGAGCTTCCAGAAGTTTCCGCTCCGACAGCTTCGACTCCTTCTGCGCCTTTACCTGTGCCGTATCCGTTTCAGCCGCTTGGATCTCCGGAATTTCGTCCGCTTCCCGCCGGATGCAATCGATCAGCTGCCGTTCCTCCAATAACGTCTCCATCCGGAAACTCCAGTTCGGGAAGTTCTTCCCGTCGAAAAGGTAGGGCTTCTGTTTCGCTTGCATTCTTCCGGCTCTTCGTGAAAAAAAAAACTTCTTTGACTAACAATCTTTCGTTTCCAAGGGTTACAGGATGGCTGGGCCCATAACCTGTCGTGATAGTAGAGAGTTATGGAAAGACGACTACTTCTGTCGAAGGATAATCAGAAGAATGATTTATTTAACTTCAAACTCAAACTCATGGCTACTACGATCTAACATATCAGGCATAACATTTGTAAACAAACTTTCTAAGGCCCTTCACACGCGAACCAAAGTACACCCACGCAAATCAAAAACATCATCGGATAGGGGCAACTATCACCTTTCTGAAAGTGGTATTGGTTCACTACTTGACTAGCCTATTGGTCCCAAGTAAACGATTAACGTGCCCCATTCTAGTCAAAATTCTAGTACTACGCAATGTTTGTTTTGATTCGCTATGAAAGTTTGACAGATAAAATGAGGGGTTATTGGTTTTTCCTATGTTTCGAGGGGTGAATCGATTAGCTTGGGACCGAAGAGAGTACCAGAGCTGAGCCAAAAAGTTGAGCACGTTATTTCGGGACCTTCTAGTCTTAGAGTTACCTCTATGGTATAAGTCTAATAGCGAATTCGTTTATTATTCAGTTCCAACCTGGATCGGGTATCAAGATTGGGTCTGCTTGTTTTCTGACAAACTTCAGTTTGCTCGTTTGTTTTTAAAACCTAGCTCAGGTTGAGGTTCACACTGACAAAAAGTTCGGTTTCGCACTGGGTTGGAACTGGTGTTAACCCCGATAATAAACGAATTCGCTATAAGTGAAAATCCTAATCAAATTTTAAGTCTCAGCCATCTGGCTTTTTGTTAAAGGCGCAATCTCAAACCTTAACCAATCATTCTAAATGTGCAAATGCTGGTGATCTCATGTATGTTGCACTATACTGGTGTCACCCACGTTCGAATGCATGTCAATTAGCGAACGGAAGGAAATTGTAGCTTTATTTAAAACCGATAAGTCCGCTGTCACAGGCAGAAAGGATGAGGGCAGGTAGTAGGTAATTATTGGTCTTGGTCAACGATTTGATAAATCTAGATAAACCCTTCAGATACAGATACATATACAGACAAGCGTGGAACATACAAAACTCGAATTTTTGAAGGAAGAAG